AGGGGAACAACTCCGCAAAGGCTTAAGTGAAGCTTCAGTTTGTTCTGAAGTCAGAGTTACCATACGCCTATCTAAAAGTTATCCCTTCTGTTGAAAAAAACCTCTGTTATTTGCGAAAGATCTCCCCATAAAGATGTGCATGACTTCAATCAACAACAACATGAATAAATGTGTATTTTATGCATTTACTTACAGATTAGGAAACTGGTTGATGTGCCTTACACTGATGTACAATTTAAGTAAATGAATGAAAGATCAAATTAGTGCAAAAGAGATTAAACTTACCTGCTACGAGTCACAGTGCATGTCTCAAAAGCACATTTTCCACATCTGTTCATGCAGTGATGGTAAAAGCATACGCGTGGGAAATATGTAGGGTGGAGTATGATCGATAGTTACATATGTCCATCACTGTTTTGGAGAAGGAAGTGAGGGTTATAGGCACCGGAAATGCTTTGTAGTAAATTATGGTGTAGATAAACATAACACGAGAGACAAAATCTTGAGTCATTACGAGATAAAGAATATGCCCCAAAAATATCAGGTTTTAATACACTAGGAAAACTAAATACGCATAACGTAATTTCGCCACAAATTCATGATATCCCTAAATCTGACAACACCGTCTAAAGTTAGGAAACGATTTTATCTTTTAAGTAAGAAAAGATGTACACGTGTGGCTAAAAACAAGTACAGAGGACAACTGGATAAAGTTAGCTTTCTGTTCTAAAACGCCCATTTACCGTTTTTACATTGAATAAAACGTATTTTTATTCCTGAGTATATATTTCACATTAAGCATCTTTTGCTTGTTATACAGATTCACACATCTTACTAGGGTACCACCGAGGTTCAAGGAAAGTAAATATTCAAAACAATAATAGCAATCATTTAGCCTCTAATTAATTCTGATGCGTTTTGGTTAAACTTGGTTTATTACTTTAGCGAACATTTGAAATATTAGCTTTTGTACCTGGTTTGGGGTTATATAGCACAAGGCTCCTAAATCTGGTTCAACTGAATCGTTTCACAACTTTCACCATTTGAATTGTATAAAGTAAGTTTATGTTAAGCAACTTGCGTTCAGCGCTAAAGCCAGGAAATTATTTCACGCACACACACACATATGTACACTTTTACCCCAATTGGTAAATCAAAAGAAAATTTTAAAATGGTTGCTATACGTATGCTCAGATTGATTGGTCTCAAACCTTCCTTTCACTCAATTTTAAAAACGAAAATATTTTCAACTCAATAGTTTTATAGCATATGTGCATGGATTCACTATACAATCGTCACGAGTCATTGATCATTCCCTCTCATACTTTACGAAAGAAAATGTCTTGTCAAACAAGTTAACTCCAAACAAAAGTTCTGCGTTGCCTGCAGAAACAAGATTTTTTTTCGTTCTCTTGTCGCTTAGCATATTAATTTGATACCATTAATATCTGTTCACCACGACGAATCTACTAGTGCAAAACACTTTACACATATTTTAACAACTCTTAATCGTTCTCTGCAAAAACATAACGAGGCGAATAAAAGTATCTTTATTGTTTGTCCATGGATTAAGAATAATTTTCTTCATAGACATGATACCTATCCACATAAAAAGACATTTAGTCACTCAAAGTAGGAGAATATATAGTCATGCTTGTTTTTCTATGTATGCTGTGGGACAGAACGTACTTCTCCCGGCTATTATGTTACCGAGATGGCACCTTTAATGCATCTACTTCGCTCTTTGAGGCAAAGACAACTTTGCATTTTTTTTTTATATAATAGGATGTTGCTGTGTAACTGATATCGTAATAATAGTCTACTCTCGTTGAATGCCCCCCCCCCCAAAAAAAAACTTTTTTTTCTCGTAAAGCCAAACCGGATAAAATACCAATGCTGTCATGAAGTATATTGGTAAATAATTTCGATTTTTTTTCCACAAAAATAATTATAATTTAACGAGTTGTATTTTAACACGTGTAGGTTTATGCTTTTTTTTATGTGTCCTTCTAACGTAGAAATTATTAAAAAAATATTTTTCATCCCCTACGAATGTAGGCCTAAGTGATGAAGTCTACAACTGCAATTTCTCTAGATTCAGATTACGAAATAATACAAAAACATAATGTTCTAAAAACTGAAGTTTTCAAGTATAAATTTTTTCAGCTTTGCGATATTTTGCACAGGTCAGGTCACCAAAAGAAGTTAAAATCATTGAGATTCAAAACTCTTGAATGAGACTTTAATTTTTTAATTAAGTTGAACAATAATATGTTAGACCATCTTATTGGAGTTGTGATTTAATATATTTTAAGCCTATTTGTTCATCGTATCATCATTTAGATATCGTTTTAAATGTTTTAAGTATTTCAATGGAAGACTGAACACATTACGATGTGTACATTTCTTTACATAAATGATCGTACGTATAAAAAAATCAACCACACCTTGCTTAAGGTTATATAGTTTGTGTAAAATAAATTGAACTGGTAGATTACATGTATGTACAAAAACATATATTGTTTGTACAACAGTGGAATTAAGATTAAAAATGACCAAACAACGGGAATTTTTTTAATAACTTTATTGGTAGCTTTTATGATTTTTAAAGCTAAACGTATGGCATAATTATTATAAAACACAATTCGTTGAAAAAACAATGAAACTTATTATTTCTGGAATGGAAAATAATGAAACAATACTGATCAGTTACTTAGGCAAGTTTTATTAGTTGACAAATAATAGTATAACTTTAATAAAGAAACTAAAAGCCTGTAAAAGTTGCATATTACTAAAGATTATATTTTTTTTACAGAAACCACCCACAGACTGTTTGATACATACCCTACATTCCGGCAACATATGCTCCGTTTGTGTCCAAATATTCAGACAAACCAAAATAGAAAACTAAAATTAATAAGTTTCATGCCAAAAAAAAAATCTTAGTAACATGGCTGTGAATGCAAGCTCTTTCTTACCTTAACAAGTACCCACCATTACATAAAAGTTGAAAACAATTACACAATTATATAAATTAAAAAAGTCATTTTTATAATAAAAAAATCCCCATCCCTCAAACAGGATCTACATAAATTTTATAAGGTCAAGTGCCAGCACTGGTATTGGTCTTTGGTTGGGAGTTTGTTGCATGGCCCGTTATCTTACAATAATACATTATGAGTCTTGAGAGGGGTGGGGTTGGAATACCACACGCACACAGCAGGCACCATTGTCTGTATGAGTTCATATTTAAAATGCACATTACACAGCTCGGAAGAACACTTTCATTCCCAGAATACAAATCACAATAGGATCAGTATGACACCTTGCTTGTGGTGACCATATATTTAGTATCTACACAACGTTTGATTTGCAAAACAGTAAACCAGAGATAAACCACAGATCCATACTGCATGAAAAAAAAATCTATTTCAAACATAATTAGAGCAATGTGAAGAATATAGCACATCGTCAATGCATTTGTTTTTTGAAATATTTAAGCTGTACATACAACAATGACTTGCATCCTCCACTAATCAAATATTTCACAGTAACAAATCTGAAGAACAAAGTACTAGTAGTAATTATAAATAAAAGCAGAAGTCTCCATAATGGAATCTTCAGGTTTAAGTACACTTTTGCCTTTGAAGTGGAAAAAAAAATGATAATGTCATTTAACATTCACATAACTTTAAAACATAAAAAAAAAAAAAGTGTTAGATTTGTGTCCAACTCCCAAATTAGCTAAAAATGAATGCATTGGTTGTTTTTAAATAATCAGTGTACCACGACAAAACAAATTAATTGTTCATGCATCTTTAAAAGTGCAATACTTTTACATAAGGTCTATACACTTAACTATACGAGAAGCATAATGTTTAATTAAACTGAATAGACTCTAAAATTTTAATTGATTAGATGCCTACAGACAATAACTGAACATGTCCAACACAGCTTACATTATAAATTTAGCCCTTACTATATACTTAAGTGTTGCCAGGTCCCGTATACAGAAGGCAATCCTGTGACAAAGCACAAGAGAAATTGGGACTCTTGTGAACAGAGTACCATTTTAAAATGGCAGCTTTACAGCTGGCTCAGAAACCACATCTGTCAACAGTATGTCAAAATATTTAATTACATTGACAACAGTGACTAGTACAAGACTGAGGCTGAAGCCTTTAGGGTGTTACATTTTCATGTATAACTCCTGCTTGGTTAAGGAGATACACCGCATGTAGGTACTGAAGTGGAGATGTTTACACAACGGCTGACTCAACTAGATGACTTCTCAGCACCTAGATAAAGGACATCTCTATCCAATAATGGGCGGATTTGTTACTGAAGTCTCCTAAATCAACCAAAGCCAACTTATGAGCCAGTCTTACAGCCATATTAACTAGAATATTTAGTTGTATCAACAGCACAGAGACACTAGTAGCACTGTTGACTGTACCATATTTATCTCACATCTAATTTACTAGTTGACTTTTTGGCACAGACTGACAATTTGAGACCCATAAGCTTTCTCATGTCTACAAAATATATTAAGCAAAAGGACTATTTTGAAGAGCAAAACAAAAAAATATAAAAAAAAAACTTTTTTTACATTGTGCCAGGATTCAGGAACCTGCATGCTTGAAAATTGTCCGATTAATCAAGGATTTGGAGAGGCTGAGATCAGAGTGCCAGGTTATGCTACAAGGTACTAAGTCTTTCTGGTGGGTCCAAGAAGGAGGGAAAGGAGTGTGTATAGGAAGAGTGCCACCCAGTACATCCACACACAAACCCTCCCAAACCACAAGCTCACTGTCCACCTCTCAGTAGAGTGATACCAAATATGCAAAAGTGGCATCAGTAATGAAAAGTAGATGAGGTCAGTCAACAAGGTGAATTACAGTCTCTCTTTTTCTATACCAGGTTGTATTCTTTCAGGTTTAGTTGAAGGATGGTGTCTTTCACTGCTGCAAAAACAAATCGAATGTTCTCCGTGTCTGCCCAGAAAAATAAAAAAGCCCATGAGTATAACCTTGGAATTTAAACAAAGTATTCATTTAAAAAAACACAACCACCCTAATGCTTTCTTATAGATGAATTATCATTCTGAAGTTCCATTCCATTAACTTAGCATCAAAATTTAAGATAACTCAAATACAAATTTTCACTACTGTTGATCAACTTTCACATATCACAAATAAAAAACAGGTAAAAAAAAACAAAAATGAACCAAAAAACCTTTGTCCAAAAATATATCAGAACGTTAATGTTTTTTTATTTTATTTATTGTTCAGTAAAACTGCATAGTTACATAATGTTTACTAGCAATATTATTAAAAAGGAAAAAAAAAGACAGAATAACACTTTAAATTTTGTTCTCTTATTCTTTTATAATGAATATATAAAAGCTGTCATTCACTAGTTTTTATATGAACATTTATTTAACACGTTCTTCCTTTGCCACAAACTTTATCTACTGATAGTACATATACTGATTTCCTTTTGAACATTTACTTTCTTCCTGTAAACGCTGCATCACACAACTGATTATTATTTAATGCAAGTTTCGTTACGGATAGTTGCCCACTTTAACTACAGAAATTTCATTCATTCTTTTCAAATTAATTATTAAATGACTGATATAATATTAACTTTAATTCTTAATGATAATGACTAGTTATTTTGCTTCAAATAATTTGACACGCCACAAGCTTTTCTGAATAATGTCCCGCTTCTTGGAATTGACAACTGCTATATGATCATTTCAAGACCCTACCATATTCTTAGTTTATAAAAAACACATTATTAAGATCAAGAAATATTTGATTAGTTTTATTACTTGTAAACAACTAAGTTAATGTTTCATCCTAGGAACTTGTTAGTACTAGAAAAACATACAATCAACTGATTGTTATCTTTGGCATAACATCATAATAGTAAAGAGCTAACTTCAAAAACTTGCAAATGCAACTTTCTCACAAAAATACTTGTAAATCCAATAAATATTTTTTTTACTTTCAGCAAATTATAAATATTTAGGACATGCATGTATCAAGGTAAGTAGTATTTGATGACAAATTGAAAATAAATTATATATACATATTGAAACTAGAAACACGTAATTTGCAAACAAAATAATCAATCACATGAACAGTTAACCAATAAAAACCAAAAAGTACAACTCTTGTAAAAGAAACTACACATGCATCAATTTCTCTACAGTAAAATAATATAAATGTGTTTCAGTGAGTACAATATTGAAAAGGATCCCAACAAGCACAAACTACTGGATCCGACACATCTGCAACACTTCTTACTGTCATCACATCAGGCAAGGTTGTATTCTTTCAGGTTGTTCTGCAGTATAGTATCCTTCACAGCACAGAAGACCAGTTTAATGTTTTCGGTATCTACATGCACAGGTGTTATTATACATGCAAGCAGAAAGACACAAGAAAACAGAAGAAACTGTTAGTGACAGAGCCAGTGCGACTTTTATAAAAATGACAGAATAAGTAACATGCTAAGTAGTCACACGCACACTGTTGACACATACCAACAAACATTAAAAAGACCATACACAAACACATAAAAAAAAAGGGAGAGATAAGAAATGCAAAATTAAAAATATTGTAATTTAAGTTAAAAAGATAGTTCATATCATCCACAGATAATGTCACAAATACATTTTAAATCTCACAAAAAGCTAGTAAAAACTATTGAAAGAAGACTTAAAAAAAAAGAGGTTCTAAAGCTGGCAGACTTACTCTACATAGTGATGGCAAACAAATAAGCATGCACATGGGGTCAGATGCTCAAGTCTGCCATTGCCAAACCTCCACATCTACTTATCACAAGCACAGGTAGCTTGTTCCTACCTGTTGCACAAGTGAAATGTGAATAGATGATTTTTTCACTGTCTGGGTTGAGGTCCACAAACATTTTGAGGATGAACTCCCTAGCGTGAATGGCATCTTTCTTTGGCCCTAGAGAAGCAGAGGGGAGAGGAAGAGGTGCTTCAGTGAGTATCAAAAGGCACTAAGAGTTCAATGTCTGTGGAGGTTTGGAGGCAGAAGACGGCCTCTTGTGGACCTTTTACACAACATCCACCAACAAATAGTTTCGTTAGTGGGTTGTCAAAGGTTGCCAATAACAGCACTAAAGCACCTTGGTAACTACACAGCACTCAAAGAAGACAGGAAAAACGCAAGGTTAAGAAATATAACTTTGAGAAAAGTAGCAATGGGAATGTCATTTTTGCGCTATCTATAGGCAAGGGCTCCTTATTTTAAATGCACTTGTCTGCTCGCTAAACTAACCTGTGGCACAAGTGAAGTGAGAGTAAATCATACGATCTGGGTCAGGATTCTGAGCCAGATAAATCTTTAGGATGAACTCACGGGCTGCAATGTGGTCCTGGTTGGGGCCTATAACAATTAATTCCAAAATTAGTTCTCTACAACTTTTCTTTGTGAGAAAATGTGGAATCATATTTGAGTTGAAAAACAAATAAACGTATCATTTGTCTTTTAGAATGACATAATAAAAAAGAAAAACTTGTTTTGGACATTTAGATCTATATCTGGCATGTATAAATCCTATAAAAACACCGATGAATTACCTGTTGTAGCAATCTTTTTTCAAAGATAAAACAATGTAAAAAAAATCAGGATCATCAAAATTTAAAGTGTCCTCTTCTGATTTATATCAATGGAAAACATCATTAAAAAAAGGGTTAATAACTGTAAGAAAGATGAGGCTTTATACTTTACCCATGATTATACTCGTGTATCAGTAAGTACAACTTGAATGTTAAATTGAAAACAAATTAATGAAACTTAGTTCCTAGAAAATGTTAATTATTTAAAGATGATGTACAAAATTAACTATTTACTGTTGTACATGTCTTGCCGGCTTTTGTAACCCCTTGATTAGTTAAGAGGAATATACATTCTGTTTCTTATAAACTGAATATCACACAGAATTCTAGTGTCTGAATTACTGGTCTATAAATTTTTCTAGCATAACTGGCTTTAAATCGGACACGATTCTCTAATCGTAAATTATAAGAACATGGTAAGATTCCACCAGGTTTTCATAAAGGGTTTCCTAAGAAACAAAAAAAGTTATAGATTCATTTCTATAAATATTATTAAAGCAATTTACTCTTGGAGCAAACATAATAAAAAGTAGGCAAATTGTCATTTTGCTAGAAGAGAAGTACATACTATTTATTTACACTGAAATCTATTATCTGAAAAAAAAGACTAAAATGACCATGTTTCTGTTGTGAATCTTGGGAAAGTTAAAAATTTCTGAACATATTTTAAACTTTGAAGAAACTTTGGAACCTGAAAATGCTTCAAAAGAAATGTCATACTTTATTAGCTTTTAGGTTATATGTATTTTTTGTTTTTTTAATATTTCGAAGAAATACTGAAAACAAACTTATAGCAACTGAAAAGAAAAATCCTACATCTTTTGAGTTTTGTAATTAATTTTTCTGTAATAATAATTTCATCGGTATCCCAGTTAAAATATTGTTATGAATAATAATAATTACTGAACAATTACAAAATTAGCTAAAATTTAGCTAATTAGTTAATAAAAAATTAAATTTGTACTAAGTTAACATAGTTGTCTTGGCCAATAAGTCTGTATTCAAAGTACCAAAAAAATCATTCTTTCAACAATGAGGGTCTTCTTTGGTGAAATTTCGCTTATCAACCAACCAGTGTGAACCTTGCAATCTTCGTTACTGCCTTTCCCAGTGCTGTTATACTGCATATTAAACCTGACTGAGAATTGTTACTGAAAATATGTATATATATATTATAGCAATAATTATTGTGCCCGTTTTTAAAGTGAAACAACAGAATTTGAACTTACAATATTGACTGGATGTTTATAGAAAAAATAAATTCATTAATACTTCATCTTTCTTGGTCTACAAAGTTGCAATGTGTATTAAGTAAGTTTTTAATTCCACACTTTGAGAAACAATAAATCTTTACAAACGGCCTATAAATCATTACTTGTTAAGTTCTTATTACTGAACATCATCTAAATAATTTTACAGTCAAATGGTGCATCTACATGAAAAGCATCCAAATTTAATTTTTTTAACACAAATTTAAAAAATGCATTGTCAAATATTTTTTTATTTCAAGTTAAATATTTCAGCTTCTTACAATTCTTACTTTATTTAAAACAAAAGGAAAAACAGTCTTAAGCATACAGATTATTATTATTTAAACATATTTTATTATTCATGCTTTACTTTGAATATTTTTGTGGGTTAAAGAATTTTGAAACCAAGTACAAAATTACATTTTCTCTAATTCACACATGTAAAATTTGAAAGTTTTGAAATTTGTATCAAAAACAAAAAAGTCTTTGTATGCTAATTTGAAAAAGATAAAAAAAATTTTTTTTTGCTTAATGTAGATGAACATTAAGTGAGGAATAAACTTGTGAAACGAAAAACATTTTCTCAACCTACCATCATATTCTGGAAAATAATCCACAAGATGTGAATACATGATTTTCTCTTCTAACAAATCCTTTTTGTTTAGGAAAAGAATAACAGATGAATTTTGAAACCATGGATATGTAATAATAGTCTTGAACAATGCTTTACTTTCTTCCATACGATTCTGTTAACGAAGAAAAATTTCCGTAAGTTACATACAAGTAAAAAAAAAATTCCTTGCTTCTTTCCTCTATAGGGTTCAAGATCCTTCCTACTTATTTTTTTTTGTATCATTTTACGAGTTTCAGCATCTGGTAAGGAAAGTTTTAACATCTATGACTTTAAACAGTAATTAAATTTCTAAGTAATTAGTCCATTACAATTTTACTGAACTGCATCAAACAAATCTGGTTTAAATGATTTATTCAGTACTTTTATATAACTCTATGGTACCTAAAAAGTATACCTAAATCCTGCAAGAACAGTGAAGGCAATGAAATCTGGGAATGTTTTGTTAAAGCTTGAGATAAATTTAATATGAAATCTAGTATATAATGCCATCTCTAGCAAAGTATGAAATAAAAATAATAACTGCCATTAAGTGAAATATCTTATATGTAACTGCTTTGGTAAAAAATGTACATTTCTGCTTAATAAGAAAGGGGAAGGGTAAATGTTTCTTACCTCATTATCTGACTCGAACAGAATTTGATCATATTCACTTAAGGCGACTAAGAAAATTATAGATGTGACATTTTCAAAACAGTGAATCCATTTTCTTCGCTCTGATCTCTGTCCTCCAACATCTACCATTCTAAAATATAAATAATATATTGCTATATAAAGAAATGTACAAAAGTGTACTGAAGTTTTTTTTATCACAACACATATCTATGGTCTCATGTGAGAAGTATAAGAGCATCATTAAATTTTTGAAATATTACATTACGTTGCATGAAATGGGACGTACATGAAAACATTTTAACACACTGAAAACAACTTGGCCAAATATTTAAGAATATAATATTTTTATAATTAAAAATCTCATCATTTTTGCATCATATATCTTTAAAGAAATGCCAGATCATTAAACTTGTAACAACACAGGAATTGTGGAACACAATACGTCAAGTTTCTGGCAGGTGATCACTCAACAAAGCACTGAATATTTGTATGTTCTGTGCACACGAGTTGTGAGCTTGTTAGATGCTTTTTTCTTAAATCAAATGTCATTAGAAAGTACTCACCTATACACATGGAGATACACTTAACACTTTTTCAAGGGGTTCGTATATTTTACATAAACTTGTAACCATGAAGATATACATGTATTATAACTCTGAAAATACTAATGTAGCTACACATAATTTGGCAAGCTTTCAGTAAACATTACAAGTCTTTTGTGTAGACACACACACACACACAAAAAAAAATTAAAATTTTAATTAAGTATTTTTTACCAAAAATTTGTCCATTAACATTTGGTGTCAGTGTTAACTGCTCCGAGTGCAAAGTGATTTTCATGTTAAGATTAAAAATACCTTTCTTCATTTGAAATTTAATTTGCATAATCTCTAAAACATCCTATATAAATATCACACATTTTTTTCAGAAAACCTTATATTTTATCTGTTAATACAGATTTGGCCCGACCTCGTTAACTACCATATAAAAATAGGAAATATTCAAAATGTCAGAAAAACACGTATGTTCAAGAAGTCTTAGTATATGCTAAAAATCCTATAATCTGAGCACTTTGAAAGGTGGACCTCTCTTATTCAGAATTAAACTGGGAATTAGGAAATAAATGTAAATTATCCTTTCTCCTTTCTAGAATGACTGCAAATTGTAACAGGAAACCACACTTGTTTATCTTAAATAGCTTAGAGCTCGTAACAGTATATATCTATTTATACTTCATTCTATTGTTTTATTGACTTTTGAAAACCATGCCTAATTAATAATACTGTTACACAAGTTGTAAATCACTTGGTAAACATACAGCTCACTTTGCAGTATCGAATTACATAACATACGAGCTGTTCTCAGGCATACCTTATGAAGAATTTTTATTATTATTTTCCTCATCTAACCTAACAAGTTCCTAATTTTTACATTTTAGTTACTTTTATAATAATAAATAAAGAATACACATGAAAAACAAGAAAGATAGTACTTAACCGGGCCTTTTTTTTCTTTTTTTTTGGTTTTGCAGTCAACTGTCAATGAAACTTAAGCCTTTTTTTTATATGAATGGTACTACTACATTAAAGAATTTTTTTATCTAATTAAATAATGCACACAGAACAACAACACACAAAAAACAACTTTCTATAACTATCATACTTTTCATGGCTATTTAGCTATGAAAACTTTTTAATTCTGTAAGAACAAATTTGAAACTGAATGATAAAACAGACAATGCCTTGTACAAAACACAATGTAATATAATACATCATTTAATTGATTAAAACCTTGACTTTTTATTGGTTATACATAATATATTATAAAACACTGGAGAAAACTATTGGCAATTTGTGAAAGAGAGGACATGACAGGTGGGTGTGGCAAGTGGTCTGATTTTATAGCTTAAGGCTCTGTATACAAATAAGATTGAAGGTTATAAAAATTATGCTTTGCCTGAGTAATATGTATATTATAACAAGTAACTTATGTTAAATTCTGTACTTCTTGGAGGGGTGGTAAATAAGTTAGGGTAGGGGAAGATCTAAGAGAAAATGCCACAATTCTCATACAAGGGGTGATTATTATTTTTAGATAATGTTTTCTTATAAAATTAAGAACTTAAAACTTATATATATGGTGAAAATTAGATTTATTAACTATATTTTGATAAGGTGTTTAATTAAATTTTGAATTCAACTTTGTAAAAGGTTGTGACGTGTGCACTTTTTCCTACCTGACAAGAAAGGGCTAAATTTCCATCTCACATACTGTATCAGGATATAGGCATGTAAATTTCTACACACATAATGAATACGTAATTTCCAGAAAATTATCTTTAAATTAAAAAGACCTGTAATTGTAACCAGTGACTTTAAAATACAACTTACTTTAGTCTGTGGAAACACACAAAACAAATCTTTGTGGTTAATTTAAAACTGTTTTAAAAGTTTTGTTACATTACACTCAACAATGTAGAACATCATGTAATGTATATCAATTAACCATGTATTGATATAAATTTATTGATGCAACATGACAACTGTTGTACTTTTTTCTGCTTACGATAGAAAACAAATTATCATATATAGATATTTCTTGTAAGAGAAAATTAAAACAATCACTATGTTTAAACTGGTAAAGACAATGTGATGTATTATGGGTAACTGGTTACTGAAAATTATTATTTCTTTCTGTGTTAATTTTTAACCATATTACATAACTTTTACTTTTCAACTAACACTACATTTGACTACCAAATTGTTGTCATCTTCAGATGTGTGTACTCCTGAGAATGACTGTTAGTAGACTTTGGACCCGAGTCCTCAGGAACTGTAAACGGGAGTGATATCCACTAGATTGGAGTTGTTGCTTATTTAATGATGGTTTCAGATGTTGCTTTTCAGTGGTGGTAGGAAGTTGTGCTAATTTCAGTGTTTCGTTTGCTAACAGGGTTCTAGGCTAAATAAATATAGAAGACCAACTCCCCCCCTCCCCATTTCACCTTCTTAACATATGCGTCAGTTGACCAAGTCACAAGAAAATTAACAAGTAATTATTTAACTATCCTTAGGATATTATACTCTGTAGCTGAACATTAATGAAATAGTAAATAAAAAGGATAAAATAACTTAAACATATAATAATTAATCTCTACATTAAAGGTCTTGCAGAGTGTGCTCAGCGAAATCTGTAGCCAAAACACCCTAACTGATACATAACCTTTC